ACTTAAATCCTATTTTCTGTATTTAATAAAACCACTTTTTATTTAGTAATTTACTCAGAGTATGTATTAATACCTGGGGGAGCAAACAGCTGTGCATATCTCTCTATCAGTGTTATAGAGGGCAAACAATTTATGAGTTTGCCCTGCATAAGCTTTATGCAGGGTAAAACGGATTTATTTGGGTTTAGATCCCATTGGGAGTTGGGCATCTGAGTGCTAAAGACAAGCACACTTCTGTGAGCTGTTTTCAGGTAAACTTGCAGCTTTGGGGCAAGTGATTCAGACCCTGGGTCCGTTTTGGAGCAGACGGGAGTGTCTGGCTCAGCAAGACAGGGTGCTGGAGTCCTGAGCTGGCAGGGAAAACCGGATCAGGGGTAGTCTTGGTACATCAGGTAGCAGCTCCCAAGGGGGTTTCTGTGATTCAACCCGTCACAATGGCCCAGCCTTAAAAGGTGGCATCATGTGAAGACAAAGCTGATCAGTTGCAAGGTTTTCTTGCCAGGGAACTCAAACAAGCAAATTTGTATTCATTTATCAAGAAAGACGGTAGTACAAGCAAATACAGTATAATGATCGCATACATTTACTTTTGATGAAAATATCATGGAAATTTATAAATAGATGCAAATCTAAACCTTGGTGTTGCAAAGTTTAGAGATCTAAAATAAACTGTTCCTAATAGATGCTAAAGGGCTTTATACAGTACCTCCCTGTTCTTCATTTTCCAAAATTAAAAATATGTAGCTGGCTTTGACAGAGGACAGAACTGATCATACAGGTACAAAAGTACCATAATGGAAAAGAGATTTAGAAAAAAATCATTATAATGCAGTCAGAGGATCCTGATAAAACTTCCCCCAACATTTCAGCAACCACAAACAGCTTTAGAAACCAAAATAATTAGAACTAGAAAAATATCCACCTCCAAGTACATGGGACGTCATCCAGATTATACCAACTATAATTGCACAGAATGTAATTTGGTTTTATATAATTGCTTTTACATTTAAGATGTCTTGAAGTGCTTTGCAAAATAATGAATTATATTCAGCTAGTGTAATCACTATGTAGGCAAACGAAGACAACATCCTGAAGTCAAATAGGGTTGCAGACATCTAATATACAAGTTAAACAGTCTATTTAGGTATATCTTTGATTATTCAGAGGTAGTTTGTGCACTTAAAGACTCAGCCCTATGTTGGGGCAGCACAGCTCTTCACAATCCCTCTGCTGATGAGTGAGGGGTGAGGGTTAGTGTTGCAGTCTGCACGGTCTGTTAAAGTAATGTACAGTATGTGCGCCCTGGGCAGACAGAAGCAGCAGTTTCTGTGGTCCCGAGCTCAGAGGGTATATGTCTGCTGCAATTAAAAACCCATGGTTGTCCTGTGCCAGCTGACTCAGGCTCATGCTGCAGGACTGTTTAATTGCAGTGCAGCCTTCTGGGCTTAGCCTGGGGCCCAGGCTCTAGGACCCAGCGAGGTGGAAGGGTCCCAGAGCTCAGGGTGCAGGCTGAAAGTCTAGACTGCAATTAAATAGCCCCACAGCTCAAGCCCAAGTCAGCTGTCACGGGCCAGCTGCAGGTGTCTAACTGCAGTGTAGACATACCCAGAGATCCAAACTGCGCTGGCCCTTATGAAGGAGGGAGTGGGGAAAGCTCTTAGTATTCTTCACTCTCCTTCCCTCATCTCTCTGACCCCTCCTTCCCCTCCCCCCCCCCCAGGTAACTGAAGAGTTTAGTAGTGTCCATGATTAAAAAAAAAAGTTGCTTATTTACTACAAAAATGTAATTATAGTATAAATATATAAACAAGCTAGATAAATGAGTAACTATGGTATTTTTGTGTCTAATATGGCAATAGGTATGAATAATAATTACTGAAAAGAATCAAAGACACTACCACTGTTAGTATGGAAGTTCATAGAAACTAGTGGATTAGATTTTAAAACCAGGGTGACCATTATGATCATCTACTTTGACCTTGTGCATAACACCATTCATAGACATTCACTTGGCAATTCCTGTATCAAGCCCGTTACTTCTGGATGAGCTAGAGTATACCCTTTAGAAAGGCACCCAATTTTGATTTAAAAACTTGAAGTGATGGAATATCCACCACATCCCTAGGTAAATTGTTCTAATTGTTAATTATCCTCACTGTTAAAAAATTGTGGCTTATATATAGTCTGGTTTCCAGATGCTGGATCTTGTTAATGCCTTTGCCTGTTAGTACAGGTCTCTTTAATCTATCAGAAAGCTGTCCTTTAAAACATCTGAGGCCAAAATGTTTCCTAAAACACAATCATTGAAGAGGATCAATTAAGCTATTTCAGTGGCAGTTGAACTACAGTCCTCTTGTACAATAAATATAGCTCTATAGCAATGAGCATATATTCTATACTCTGTTCCTAGACCCGAGGCCCCCTAAATATCTACAGTGTGCATAGTGGGGGAAGTCATGGAAATCACAGAAATGTAGGGCTGGAAGGAACTTCAAAGGCCATCTAGTCTAGCCCCCTGCACTGAGGCAGGACCTGAGAATCCCTGACAGGTATTTGTCTAACCTGTTCTTAAAACCCTCCAACGATAGAGATTCCACAACCTCCCTTGTAAGCCTATTCCAGTGTTTAACTCTCCCTGTAGTTAGAAAGCTTTTCCTAATATATAAAGTAAATCTCTGTTACTGCAGTGGACATGGAGAACAATTTATCATCATTCTTGTTATAATGTCAATAGTTCAGTTTTACTGTACTTGCTTTTATTATAAATTATATTTGGATTTAAACCAAAGGGTTTCAGTTTGAAAGAAGCCCCGGCTTTCTAAACTGTGGGTGCAACTAATGTCATTAGATGTATTCTTGCTTTTTTGATTCACTAGGGTAGTTAAATATCTAAATGACATCAATTACACCCACAGAACTGTGGGCAAAAAATCAGAGGCTTTTCAAAATCAGTCCCATTGGTACAATCCTACAGATGTCCATCTGCTTATACCTGAAAAGTGACTTAAACGAGGTGTACTGTGGGCTGAAAAGCTTAAGCAACATTAATTGGCATTCTGCACTAATCCTAAATGTGCTTTACATGTAGTGCCATATGTCTTCTATACATCAATTATCAGGGATACAAAAGCATACTGTATAACATTTATCTCAATTTAAATTCTATGTAAAATTCTCCATTGTTCTGTGATCTCCAGATCATTTTATTTCTCCACAGTATCCTCCAGTATGTTTACAATACCTGCTAGTTGAGGATCATCTGTAAATGTGACCAATGTACAATTTACTGTACTTCTCCAGCACATTATTGAAGATACTGATCTCAAAACAAACCTTTCTAGTAATCAGGTTTCTCCGCAGTATAAAGGCACACCATTAATTATTCTGTTTTCCACCTCTCAGAAAATTCTGAATAAACACTATAATATTCTTAGTAACCAGATAGCATCTCAACTATTATTTTATTAGCCTTTCCTGTTGGATTATCAAAAGCTTAAGTATAAGTTAAGTGAACCTTGTTATATTTTCCCACAGAAACTGATTTTTCTTCAGAGAACAATCCAGTGTGTCTGACTCAGTTCTTAATGAACCTGTGCTCTTTATCAATCATATGGCTCCTCCTAATTGCTTTCAAGCGGTTTCTTGATTCTCCTAAATAATGAGTAACATTACTTTCTTGAAGTTTATTATCTGCTTTCTAATTACAGTCTTTGGAAAAATAAATGCCAAGTTCTTAAAGCTCAGAGTTCTGTGTGGTCAATAACAGAAGGTCCTGTTCTCACTAATTTCCTCTTTTCATAGAATCACAGAATATCAGGGTTGG